CTATTCCTTGCGCTAGTGACAGGCTTTTGTGTCATTCCTATGATGCTGGTTTTACATATGTGGAGAATTCAAGAGTTGGAAGTTCTATCCAAATTTCAAAGAAGGACCTGCAAGACTAGGCATGCATAACAATGATGGAATCAGTGCTAGGAAACTTTGAGGGTGATTGTTGCAAATGCCAGAAACATGGCTGCTGAGGAAAGTCAAAGGTAGTGAGCAAAACTAGCCCAAGAGAGGCTGTGTGGGCTACAATCAGCACAGCCATAAGAGTCGAGCTGCTCAAGCCCTCTGGAACTGATGTCTCACAACCACATACCCCAGATGCCACACATGAAGCCACAAGACTTGATGTTTACCCTCGCTTTGATTGATTTCTATCCCTGTATTCCATTTTGTCATGGAAATGTTTACCCTGTATGACTGTATCATAGAAATGTATATAACTTGCTTCCTGATCTTTACAGGGGTTCATAGTTAAGTTTGCCTTAAGTCTTAGATGAGACTTTGAACTTTCAGCAATGCTGGGAATGTTGAGATTGTGGGGAAGGAATTCATGTTGTATGCTACAGTTATATCATGTTAGGAACAATACAACCCTGTACCGTTTTTTAAAGATTAAGTATAGTTTAAGAGGATATGTCTGAGTGTCAAATTGCCATGAGTTGGAATTGTGATAGTTAATCTTGTAATTTTTTTCATCTTTTGCATTTTTTTTTTTTTCAAAAAAGCTTGAGACAGGGTCTTGCTAAATTTTCCAGGTTGGAGCTGGGGTGTGGTGGTGCACACCTGTACCCAGCACTTGGGAGGCAGAGACCTAAGGATCATTACAAGTTGGAGACCAGTTTGGGTTACAAAGTGAGCTCAAGGCTAGCCTCAACTGTTTAGAGAAACTGTCTCAAAAAAGACAAGAAACAAAACAAAGCAAAACAAAAACATTGTCTAGGTCAAACTTGTGTGATCTCCTGCCTTACCCTTTTTGTCCCTCCCTCACTCCTTTTTTTTAGTATCTTGAGAGACAAATTCTTGCTATATAGTCCAGAGGTCAGTCTTCAACTCATCATGCAGCCCACGCTGGCATGGAAGTTATTATTACTATGTTCAGGTTTAAAAAGGGAGAAAATTCTGGGCCACATGGCCAAGGCACAGCACTGTATGCCTTAGTGAACTTGGTGCAGAAAATGTGACCAAGTGGCACAGAGATCACTAAGCACTAATCATAAGACCCACTGTGTATAAATTCAGAGAAACACAAATAGGCAATAGAAAATACTATAGGAAGTACGAATCAGCAATTTTGCACAGTAGGTTTTGAGAGATGTATGCTGCTGTCTGAAGCTGGGACAAAGTTGAAAACATAAGACAAGTTCACAAAATGTAAAAGCTGCTAGTGAACTCTAAGAGAAGTAACTAAAAGTAACGAAGTTCCTCCATTAAACTTCAAAACAGCCACCTAGGGAATTCTCTTTAAGATGATGATTCAAATAACCCTCCAAAACTAGATGTGCTAGAGTGAAGAAGCACTCTAGAAATAAGATTTGGCTGGCCCTGGTAAAGCAGGCCTGTAATCCCAGCACTTTGGGAGACTGAGGCAGGAGGCACAAATCTGAGCACAGCCTGGGAAACTTGGTGACTTCGCAAGTTTCTCTCAGTATTTAAAAAGGACTTAGGATGTAGCTCAATGCAAATTTAATTCCCATCCCTCCCCTCAGCCCCCTAAAGCAGCCCTTATCAATACCCAGAACTTGCTCTTGACATTGGTACTGGAAGAAAATACTCAACTTTCTAATGACTGCATTTAAAACAGTATGAATCTTTTTCAAAATACCCTGTGATTTTTAGATAAGGTATTGTACCTTACTTTTCTTGTTGCTCAGAAAAAATACCTGACACCCAAAGTAAAAAGACAAAAGCTTTACTTCAGCTCAGTTTATAGGGATTTCAGTCTAAAGTTGGCTGGCTCCAAGGCAGGGCAGCATGGGAGAGGGACATCACAAAGAAAGAGACCTCGGCAGGGCAGACAACACAGCAGCAGGGAGCCTTCCTTTCTCTTTTATCCTATCCAGGCTACAAGTTTATTGGATGGTGCCACCCACAGAGAGTGCTGCCTTCCCGTTATGACACCTGGAACTATGCTAAACCATTTAGTTATCACATTCCATGAATCTCAGTATCACACGGCCTAAATCTGGCCACCTTGAGAAAGCCTTATCTATGAGTACACAAGGCTTTGCGAGGATATCCAGATAAAAGCCACTAACACTCTCTTATTCAAAATTCATGAAATTATTCATGGATAAGCCAGGCACAGTGGCACATACCTGGAAGCCCAGCACTCAGGGAGTGAGGCTGGAGGATTACAAGTTTGAGCACATTTGGGGGAATTTAGTTACTCAGCACACTACCTGAAAATAAAAAAGGACAGGGGGTATAGCTCAGTGTGAAGACCCTGGGTTCAATCCCCAGTACTGCCAAAAAAAAAAAAGGTATAAGATACCACACCCAGAGTGGGACAACACTATTACATTAAATGTTATATAATATTCTAATTTACATCTATTTCTGAATTTGGAGAAAAGTTACTAATCTTTCCACTGGAAATACTTTTGGAATTAACATTTTGTTACATAGTTTCAGGTAAAAATTATCATCTATAATCTTAATTTTGCAATATACTGCAATTGTTAATTTTTATTACTTATTCTGTAGTACTGGAGTTGAACTCAGAGCCTTCAGACTTAGCTACTTTCCCTATCCCTTTCTTACTTGAGACAGGGCCTTGCAAAATTGCAGAAATTGGGCTCAGCCTGTGATCTTGCCTCAACTTCCCAGAGCGCTGGGATCACAAAATGTGCCCCATCAGGTAACTGTTGCTGCTACACAATGAAGCAAACACTTTGTAGCAAGATATGAAACAGAAACACTGAAAATTCCCCATTCAAGAAAAAACGAGGACCAGGGATTTAGCTCAGTCATGAGTTCATCCCCATTTTCACACACACACAAAAAGGAAATTCTAACACACGGTACAACATGAACCTTGAAGATATGCTAACTGAAACCAGACACAAAAGGATAGATGTAGCACTTAATTTACATGGGGCTTACTAGAGTATTTGTAAATATATAAAATATAATAGTGGTTGGCAAGAGTGAACAACTAGCTACTATTTAAGGCTTATGGTCCCCATTTGGAAAAATAAAAAAGGTCTGAACATGGATGGTACTGATGACCCCAAAATGAGAATTTTGTACTTTATGCTACTAAAAGTATCTAAAAATGATTAAATACAATATAACTTTTTCAAACTGTAAATGGCATTTGTAATAATTGCAAAGTGAAATAAAAATGTCTGTCAGGGTAGATGTGGCAGCACACGTACGTAATGCCAGCACTCGGGAGGCTGAAGCAGGAGGATCACTGTGCTACATAATCCAGTCTGGGTTACACAGTGAATTCGAAGCTAGCATGACCTACCTAGCAATATATCATCTCCCCTGCCCTGCAAAAAGTCTGACAGTAGAATTGTGGTCTATTCATTCAACTGAAACATATACATCAATGAGAATGATATGAGGATGTTTGCTACACTAAACACATTGCTGAACAAAAAGTTCAAGTAAGAATATATAAAATGTTGTGACTCCACTTGCAAGTCTAAAAATAAGTAAAACAAATGTGTGGTAACAGAAGTCAGCCAGTATTAAGGGAGAAGAAAGAATTCTAGGGTTTTTTTTCTTTTCACGATCACATGCTTGCAAGGCAGGCGCTCATGCCGCTAAGCTAAAGCCCCAGCGCCTTCAATGTGTAATTTTAATGGTCAATCGTTTTTTTTTTTTGATAGTTATTTAAACTTCACATCTGAAACACTTTAAATTGATATAAAACTCTAAGTCTAGTACTTTTAAAAATGTACTGTTTCTACAATTCTGGGTAGGAAGTTTTCAGATCTCTCTTTTTTTTATGTTCTTTAGTTTGTGTTTAGATATGCATACATTTTTTTCTCTTACTCTGAACTGTGTCCCTGTATCTCTAAACTTTTTTTAGGCTCTCTTACTAGCTTAGAGTAGGCACATCTATGTCTGTCCTCCATCTCACTTAACTCTTTCATATTTCCCTACTTTTTGGGGGTTGTGCTGGAGGATCAAACCCAGGGGCCTCATACATGCTAAGCAAGTAATCTACCACTGGGCTATATCCCTATATTGATTCTTTTTATTCCATTTCACTACATTCTTTGTTTTATGTTTCATTAGTTCTTCTGTTACATTGGTAAATCTTTTGTTTTGGGATTTGAGACAGGTTCTCACTATGCAGTTCAGGCTGGCCTTGAACTTGCAGCAATTCTCTTACCGCAGCCTCCTGAGTGCTGAGATTATACACATGTGGCAGCATACTGTCAATGACCAGCCCTATATCCTGTGCTGGACGTTCCAAGAGAGGAAAATGGATCAATCCGATAGTGAAGAACATCGGCAGTTAACTGCTCTACTTCATTATCTACCAAGCAATCCTTTAGGTCAGGGCTCCCTCTTTGGATATTCTGGGAGAAATGGCAATGAGAAAAGGCACATACTCAAGTCTAGACTATACTGTAAAATATGAGTCCTATAAAGTAATGTCTAAGTTAATCAATCCTTATTCCACCCCTCAAATTTTTCATCCTTTTGTTCTACCGTAATTTTATCTGCAGAGACCTGCAGCACAGGTATGGTTCTGATGCTACCAGTGTAAGAAAGCAGGCAACGGCAAAAGATTTTCTCTAATGAGCTTTCTCATAGCCACTTAGCCAGTTATATTCCATCACCACAAGTGTTTCCATGGAACACATTAAAGTATCTTCCATAGCCGTGTGTGGTGGCGCATGCCTGTCATCTCAGCACTAGGCAGGATTTGCTGTGAGTTTGAGGCCAGCATGGGCTACAAAATGAGGTAAGCCAGACTTGCATAGTCAAAGCCTGGCTTAAACAAACAAACAAAAAACAAACAAAAAACGAACATCTCCTGTGTTCCCAGGGAGTTTTATCTCATTTTAATTATCAATAAACACACTAAAAGAAACATTTTAATCAAATGTAACAGAATTCAACATGGTTTTTATTATACATTACCATTATCGAAAGCAAACTATACAAAGTTTTATATAGATTATAAAAAAAACCTTGTAAATCCATTTGTGTGTATACACAGACACACAGTATTTTACATTATTATAATTATACATATTTACAAGTATGCTATTTAAATTATTTTACAACTTACCAAAATGAGGCAATTATAAAAACATAAAAATGAATGAAAACTTGAACTAAATACTTATTTAAAATGCTACAAAACTGTTTTTTAAAAATCTAGAGAAAGTTATTTCTTTGAAATATCAAAACTAAGGTTTCAATACTATGCCATTGTTGCTTTCATTTTGGTAATAATTTTTAATGTTTAAAAATAAATATTTTGACCAATAACAGGTAAGCAAATCAGACTGGTGACTGGAATAAACTGAATATATTGATTTGCGATTTAAAAATAACAAATGTAGGTTGGTTATCATCTAACAATCAAAAATTTAATAAAACCTCCCTCTAGTTCCCCATTTAAAACATGAGGAATTTGAAGCTTCTCTGTAGTATGAAATATCAATTAAAACTCCAAGGAATTCAGCCACTTATCTGTAATGTAAGAAAATGCTAAAGTTATGATTCTATTTTTCTGGTATAACCATTTTTATAAGTGACACCTTTTTATGTTTTTTTGAGACAGGATCTTACTATGTCATTCAGACTGGCCTTGAACTAAGTAGCCTAGCATGCCCTTGAACTCATGGTGATCCTCTTGTTTCAGCCTCCCAAGTGTTGGAATTATAGGCACGAGCCACCAAACCCAGCTGCTTAACTGTTACTTTTTGTATGAGTTTGACTTAGATATTACTAGTTTTAAAAAATCTAGCTTTTACAGAATCTTATAACCATTGTTATACTCCAATTTTGCTAAGAATTTAATGAAACCATAATACTTAGGGGAAAATAAAATCAGTTAAGAGACAGTGAGGAGTGAAATAAATCTCTACATGTACTCTCATTACAATCCCACACCTTAAATATCAAATTAGTTGAAACATTTTAAACTTTTCAAAGATTTTAGATATATAATGGAATTTGAAATTTTAGCATCATTTTCAGAGTCAAGTTGATTCTTTTATGAAATTACATTCTCTTCACAAGAGAACAGAAATCATATTTTTAGGTAATGGTAAAGTAAACAAATTGAGGTTAGTTTTTTAAAGGCAGCAAAATCGTTTTTTTTTTTTTTTTTTTTTTTTTTGTCTTTTTCTTTGGTACCGGGGATCGAACTCACAACTGCCTGCTTGCAAGGCAGGCACTTACGCCGCTGAGTTAAATCACCAGCCCCCAAAGGCAGCAAAATCTTAATGCAAATATAACCTAAAAACTAACCAACCCACTTATGTCTAGTGCTGTATTCTTTTAAAGTTCTTTAGGCTTGCACTAAGCTTATTTTCCAAATTTTCCATTATTTAACAGAAATACTGTGATACAAATTCACAGTAAACTAGCAAACATCTTTTGAAGATCTCATCAGCAAACCAGTTGCTTTAATATTATCTAGACAGTAATTCACATGGAGGTAGAAACAAAGATTAATCTGTGTCCAAACAGCTTCTGTTTGGGGTAGGAATACAACTCAGAGGCACAGTGCCTGCCTGGCAAGTGCAAGGTCCTAAGTTCAATTCATGGTATCACCCCCCAAAAATACAAAAACAAAAACCCTCAAATAGCTTCTATTTGGGTTTAACATGACCTTGACTTGAAATCAGATGTTTAGCATTCAAATAATTTTGACTACAAACCCATGAAAAATACACCAAATGTTCATATCATTATATTTTTTTTCCTTACAAATCCAAAACCATCATTTCATTGAGGTCTGACATAAAACACTTGCTGATAAATTTAAATACTATTGCTTTAATAAAACTATGCAAGAATGGCTTAAAGAAACTGAGGAAGCATGTCTGTGAATAGTATCAATAACTTAATATTGTAATGCTGTCATCTATTTAGATGACAATGGACTTCATACATGTCATATATTTTTTAAACACACCTGATAAAAATGTGAGAAATATTAAATTATAATGACCACAGACTTCACTGGTTATAAAACACATTGCTACTCACGAATATTTTTCTTTTATTCTTATCTGTAAAATATTTATTAGTAATCAAATGGATATCCTTCACCTTGGACTTATCAGCGATCAGAAAGCTGAAGAGAGACGCCATGCTGGTCTGCAGCAGGCTTCATGAATATGGCCCTACACATGCTGGAACCTGAGGTGCCTACAAGCGTCCCAACCTGTGACTGAAACAGGAGCTCTACCGGAGGCTGCACCCTTACCCTCTGCCCACATCTGCAACGATTAATGGGCCACCAGCTGCAAAATGATGTATGATGTGTCAAGCATTTACTATACTAGTCTTCTGTAGTGTGACCATTAGCTACCTGGATTTTGACTTTTCAAAGAGCTTCTTTAGCTGCTGAAATCTTTCTGAAACCTGAAAAATTAAAAATTATTGTAAATATCTCAATTTTTAAAAAAATCTTTCATGCTTTCAAAAAAACATCTGCAAAGTTATGCTCAAAAATGACATTAAATAATTAGTGAAATGAAGTATCTTCATATAAAAGATCATCACTTGCTTAAACTTTTTAAAAAAATTAAAAAAAAAATTTTTGATATTATTATTTTTTTGGTACCAGAAATCAGACTCAGGACCCTTGCACTTGCCAGGCAGGTGCTGTGCTGATGAGCTATATCCCTGGCCTTTATATTAAATTTTATTAAACAAGCAAACATCACTACCAAAGTGCCCAAGATCAAGTAAGTAGACGGTAAGAAACACTTCTTTCACAACCACCAACTTTAATAGTCCTACACCTAACAATCTTTTTAAAGTAGGCTAATAAATGTTTTGATATGTTAAAAAATAAATCTAATTATGTCTAGCAACAACTAACAGAGATGTAAAAATTGGGTTTGTTACCTGATTTGGATTTTTATTTAACTTGACAGCTAACTGTGTGAACGTTTTCAGTGACGGCCTTCTTTTCTGACATTCTAGTAAAATTTCCCGGTCATCATTTCTAAGAAGGGAAAAATTATAGTCAGCTTTTATACACTGCAGAAGAAAGGTAATAAATTTCACTGCCTTAATATCCACCAATAGGAATGACAGTCTTGTTAAAACCTATAGAAAAGAGAAAACAATGTCTGTATACTGAAATATGGACAATGGTTATCTCTGAGACGCAAGATTATATATGATTTCATTCTTTGAGGTTATATTTACTAACTTTCTAGAATAAATGTACCAATTTATTTTTCTAATAACAAAATTAAGTTTTGTTTTTAATTGTTTTTAACAGGTTCCTCCCAGATTGAACCTCTGGTGGTACATGTGTAAATATTCCAGGGGGCAATTTGTACCACTGGTAGTACAAATGGATTTACTCACTTTTTTTTTTTTTTTTTTTTGGTCGTTTTGAGACAGAGTCTTGTTATGGAGCTGGCCTTGAACTCACTTTGTAGCCTAGGATGGCCTTGAACTTAAGAGTGATCTTCCTGCCTCAGCCTCTTAACTGCTAGGATTACAAGCATGTGCCATTACGTTTGGCTAGATCTAATAATTTTTATCTGTCATTTTACTTATTAGTAAAATGAAAAGTAACAAAAAGCCACCTGTCATACATATGCCACCAGTGGTTCAAGCTGCCCAGCAGAGAGACATATGAATTATAGCTGTTGTGAATGTGTTAATATATATGCTACTTAAAACATGAGGGTCCTAAAAAAACAAAACAAAACAAAAAAAACAAACAAAAAACATTAGGGTCCTTTTGGGAATTGTGGCATATGCCTATAATCTCAGCACTCTAGGAGGCTGAGGCAGGTGGATCAAAATTTAAGGTAAGCCTTGGCAATTTAGCTAGACCTTGTCTCAAAACAAAAAATAAAATACAAACCTGAAGATGCAAAGGCCCTGAGGTTAATCCTCACTACCACAAAAACTAAACACACACAATCCATGTGTTCTGAAAGGCTAAGGGAGGAGAATTACAAGTTTGAGCATAACCTGTCTACTTAATGAATTTTATTTTATTTTATATTTGTAGAAAATCTTTAATTTAAAAACAACAACAAAAAAAGGGTACAAATAATACAGAATTACAGAAAAATGAACAGTAAGAAATCACTAGTTGATAAGTTACATATTGTCATCTTAGAAACAGTTGTTCAGGTTACAAAATTAAAGCATACAAAGTGACATTCAAATAGTGACACTGCCTAAGATACTGAGAGGCATTATGGTAACCATTGTTGATCACCTTGTATTCTGTTTTTACATCATGTACTATGTCCATCCTTTTGATTTGACTGACTCTGTTTTGTTATGTCACATTTGGTTTTATTCTCTTCAAAAAAAAGTAAGAACTGTGGAAGTAATAAAACCCAAAATGTATAATTGTCATTGTCAAAAAGAGAGGGGAAGAAAGTGCTCTAAAGGATATATAACTACATGTATATTTAAGGGTATAAGACAGATAACCATATTAGAGTTTTTGTTACATCTTTGAACAGAACTGTTTGCAGTCTCACTGTTTGAATGTCTACTTTATATGCTTTAATTTTGTAACTTGAACAACTATTTCTAGGATGACAATATGTAATCTATTAACTAGTGATTTCCTACTGTTTATTTTTTTAAAATTCTGTATAACTTGTACCCTTTTTCTGTTTTTTCTCCTTAAATTAAAAAAGTGACACTGCCAACAGTTCTGCTCAATGATCCAACAAAAAGTTAGTAATACGGTTCTCAGTCCTACACACTTGTTTTTTATCTTAAAGAGGGTAAGATTAAACATATCAAAACAGAACAAAACAGTTCATAAAGAAACAATTTAAAGAAATATGGATTTCAAAGCAAGTCCACTGGAGATCTTCATTGTCTATCTTATTGTCTCTAGTTTTCTTCCAAATAGTTGTCCCCATCTTCACACACATTGAACACATACTGCATATTATAGAACTAATCAAATCATTACAGGATGATGAAGGCTTTTGGGACTTCAAGACCTGACATTGGGGAAGTCAATAATGACTACCATAATGTCTCTCATTCTCTTCATAGTAGCTGTCCTTATCTTTACGTATGCTGAAATTGAACTTGAGACTAGACTAATATCACTCTGAACAGTGAATAGTATTGCTAGATTTTATATCATAATGTTACAGAATTAGCATTGGGTTTCTTAGTATCTCTTCTTCTTCACAGTATCTGTTCATTACATCGTGCATAATATAATCTGTTCCTGTAAATAGTTTACAATTTCTACATAAATATCTACCTATCCTCCCTATATTATAGGGAAAAACAGATCATAACAAAACAAATTCCTAGAAAAACATGCAATGAAAAAGACACATAAGACCACAACATTAAGTGATCTACCGTAGTTACTATGCTTTCTCTTGTTATTTTCAATAGACTTGCCCACATCATCAGTCTTAATATAGTTACTTAATGAATTTTAAAAAAATCAAAAGGCCTGGGGGTATACTGAGTGCAAAGGTCCTAGGTTCTATCCCCAGTATGAAAATAAAAATATCTTTGCTTTTTTTTTTGTTTGTTTTTTGGAGACAAGGTTGTAGTGCAGGCTGGCTTTTAACTCACATCCTCCTGCCTCAGTCTCCCAAGTACTAGGATAATAGGCCTGGGCCACCATACTTGGCCAATACAGTGTTTCTTAGACTTTACTCTGTTACCAGCAAGTTACTTAAAATGGGAGTCTGAGAACTGTGCTATTAAACAAAAGTCATTAGTTTTAACAAAATCAGCTTCAAGTGTGGAAACCACCCATTTCTAATACAATGGTTCACAACTATGGTTACCTTTATGTCTGGTGTGGGATCTTAATATCTGAAATTTTGAAAAAGTTCACATAAAAAGTACAACCTATTTAGGAAACTGGAATTTTTTTTTGTATCAGGGATCAGACTCATGACCTTGAGCTTACCAGGCAGGCACTTAAGCCACTGAGTTGAATCCACAGCCCTGGAAATTTTTAATTTAGGGGACAATTATCCACACTCCCGATGTTGTTTTACTATGTTATTTCTTCTAAAACGTGTTTAAACTAGTTCCTTGCAAAGAATTTTGTTTTACTTTTCCATAAAATTTTAAAAATACTTTTTTTTTAAACAAAAAAGATAAAACACAATGGAAAAGAAAGCTCTACCTATTGGGCAGAGTTTAATTCATACCCCCGACTCTAAAGCACAGGTATGGTGGTATATCCTTGTAATCTTAGCTGTTTAGGAGGTTGTAGACAGGTTTGGAAGTTCAAGGACAGCCTGGGTAATCTGTCTACTCTGCAATAAAGAAAGGTAAACCTGAGACATTTCTAGGTAAATGGGTGCACCTTGAGAACATACTCAAGTGAAATAGGCTATACATGTTTAGATAGTGCATGGTTTCTCCAGTGTGAGAAACCAAGTGTAAATTAGGACCAAAATGGCTAATGGATATTGTGAAACAGTAAGAAAATGTTCAAAAGGGAAGGAGAATACAAAAAGGGGGAAGGGGAGAGAAAGGGAAAAGGAAAAAATATAAAGCCTTTGTAAATAAGGAAAGAGGAGTTGAAGAGAGGACAGGGAAAGGAGAGAAGAATCAAGGTATAGCATGTATAGATACAAATTCCATATGATACATGTTATCATTATGTATAGCTAAAATGCACCAATAAAATTAACTTTCAAAAAAGATTGTCTCAAAAATAAAAGGGATGGGGATCTAGTTATGTGGTAGAGCACTTGCCTACTGTATATGAGGTCCTAGGTCCAATCTCTCATACTATGTGTGCACATAAACACAAAAAAAACCCTACAGAATGTTCTCTAGTAGAGCTACTGTACTTCGCAGTTTACCTTTAACTGACATTTTGGAAGCAATTGTTTTCCTTATTTTAGAATGGAACAAATTCTAATGAAATGACAGATTAGGCTGTTGGTTTTAAAATTTCCTAGTGATTAAAATGTTTCACAAAATCCTTACCTTGTCCATAAAATTGTGATTTCTCCCTTCTTTTTAATAACATTCTTTGCATAAAGACTTGTAGGAGAAGTGATGAGTACTGCTGGTGAATTCTTAGTCTCTGGGCTTGTCAAAGATGAAGAATCTTTAGTCACTGCCCTTTTCTTATTGGCTTTCTTTTGATGAGCTTCACTATCTTCACCAGAATCTTGGATGAGTTTCTCAGTCTTTTCCACACTGGTTAAGTCTGATTCCTTTCTTTGTTTTTTCTGAGAAAAATGATTTAGCTCACAAGAATTTTTTCTTTTCTTATGAACATTAGCTAAAGCCCCAGGCAACTCTGAACCATCAGAATTTGATGCTGGTTCTGATTTTAAATCTTCTTTTACTTTACATAAATCAGGAGATTCTGTAGTCAAATCTATACAGGTTTCTTCAACAATGTATTCCAAAGGCCTGTCTGCCATTTCCACCTTTTCCTTACAGTTATCTTCATCTACACATATCACCTGACACTCCAAGCCTTCTACTGCTAACACAGGATGGTTACCTTCATTTTTACACTTGCTTGAAGCATCCTGTGTCAAATCAATAAAAGCATCTACAGTTTCAGGCTGCAAAGAATTATTTAATATTTGAGTATTTTGATCTAAGTTGTTTTCGGAACTTCCCAATTGATCAATATTTAAAACTGTTACTTCTATGAATTCCCCCAAACTTTTTGTCTCAGTGATTGGATCTTTTGTTAAATCTATTAATGTGTTTGGAAGATGATCCTCAACAGAATGTTGAATTTCTTCTATTGAAGGCAATTCTTCAATGTTTTCAGATACTTTGGATTCCCATTCTTGATGCAACTTGAAACAATCGCCAGACACTTCATCATGACTGACTTTACCTGAAGCATCCTTAAGAAATTCATATATATCAGGAACCTGTGTTTGTATCATAGAGTTCTGTTCTTCATTAAGTGATTTACTGGTATCAGTATTTTTGTTGCAATTTTCCAACTCCCCTGCAGACTTAAAACCTGTGTTTTCACATGAAATATTTTTCTTCGCTACATCATCAGTTTCCTTTTCTTCTTTAGGTAAAAATGCCAATGACTCATCAGCTACCTTACTCTGTTTGAGAACAGGTGAGGTAGATGGAGCTGCACGCCGTATTTTGACAATGAAATGATCATTGGACTTTTCCATTATGACAGCATGCATGGGTAGATTAGGGTGGTACTGAAAACCAGGAGCAACAGACCTGCTTGTCCATGATGAACAACTTGATTTACTGCTTGAATTATCAGACTCCAGAGCTAAATGAATATCTTGTTCAGATGCATCCTCTTCTTCAAGTAAGGCATCTTCACTGAAATGTGCACTAATAACTTCTTCAGGAGTTGAACTAGACAAAACTTCAGGTTTTAAGAAACTGAGATGACCATCTGACTTCAGAGGTGAAGGTACAGTTAAAGAGACAGCAAGATCTTCAATAAGTATGGAAGAAATGCAGGGCTTGCTCTTTTCTGAATTAGACATGTTATCTTTATTTAGAGCTAGGTTAGTAGATACCTCAAACATACAATTTTCATCTAAAACATCAGGATGAACTGGCAAAGAAAGCCCTGAAGGTAGAGATGGACCTTTTTCAGATGATAGTAAAGACCAATTATCATCACTAGTCACTTTAGGGCATGGAGAAGTCACCCCTGAAACTAGTTCTGTTGCACAAGCTGGTATAGATTCACATTTAAGACTCTCTAGCAGCTGTTTCTCTGGAGTCTTTAACTCCCATTCAGATTTATCAGTACAATTAACACTGTTGTCCAAAAGATCAGAACCTTGCAATAAACTTTTAAATATTTCACCCATCTGAGCATCACTCACTAAATTAAAAGTGAGGCTTGATGTTTGCTGTTCAGTAAGAATCTCAAAACTACGTTCTGGCTTCAAAGATGCATGCTGGGGCAACTGTGAATCCTCTACTGTGTTGCCTTCATTTTCTCCAGGCTTTGAGCCTTTTGGACAGTTTATTTCCAAAGAGTGTGCATCAGATTGAGAGTTCCTTGTATTATCAAAGCAGGTATTAAAATTTCTTTTTGTGTCATGTTTTGCTATGTTAATACTGGAGTTATTTTGGTCTTGATGTTTTTCCTCAGTTTTTTTACATCCTGATAAAGACTTGCAGTTTACAGAGTTTTCTGATTTTGGTAATTTTTCTCTTAACAGTTCTTTGTTGGAGCTGTCCAGATTTCCCTTTCGCCTATTTGAACATTGTACTTTGTTATTTTTTAATTTTGCAAGTTTTTCTTCATCACTGTCACTTCCAAAGTTTATAGAATCACTGAACTTTACTAAGATTTTCTTAAGCTTTGCCAACAAATAATCAAGTTGTTCATCTACAAACTTCCACAATTTTTTTTTCATATCTGGTAGTTGCTGTTCAAATAAGCGGTCAACTATGCCATTCTTCTTAACTTCCTTAAGTTTGGATTCTATAAAATCACAGAGATTCTTCTGTAAAGTAGTTACTGACTTAGAGATCTTGGATAAGTCAAGATGTTTAACTAGTGAGGTAAAACTCAAAATAGCTGACTCAATAATCCTGTGAAATTGTAACAATGAAAACTTTACCTTGAATTTCATGTAATTTTTCTTTACATGCTTTTTAATCATTTGTAACATATGCATAATCTCTCCTATAGAGCAGGGTACAGCAATAATTGAAACTATTTTTTCCAAGCTGGAAGTGCTCATTGTTTCATCTTTTCTCTTTGTTTTTGAAGATCTCTTAGATCCACTTGGGTTTTTATGCCATTTGGTGTTAGTCTGGTGCAGTTTTACGTATGTTTTCCTATGATCTATATTCAAATGAGCAGTATTTTTCCCACTTCTTGGGTTAGTTTTTGTGTTCTGCACTGCAGAAGATTTAGGCTTGGAACTTTTTTCCAAGCTTGTTTGTACGTTGGAGTCTTCACTATCAGTTATAATTTCTCCTTCTTCTAATTCATGTAAAGATAAATTCTTACGTGAGTCTGCTGCTGTACACTTGTCAAATTTACAAACTGGCTTTTGATTCTCTTTGTTGAGATCAGATTGGCTCTTGGAAGTTGAATGAGCTGAATCTGGTGGCAGTACACCTGGAAAGAGAAAAACCATATGCAAGTCATATAGTAATTGTCTTTATTTTCTTGACAGTACCAAGGATCTGTATTTTCAGCCCACTTTTCTTTATTATTATTATTTATTTTGAGACAGGGTTTTACTAAACTTAGTAAAGGTTTAGTAAGGTAGGGCTTGAACTTGTAATTTTCCTGCTTCAACCTTCCTTAATGCTGCGGGATTACAGGCATGTGCTACTGTACCCGGCTTTTCACCGAGTTTTAGTCACTTGGTATTTCCATCTTACATTTAACAAAATTCTTTCTTTCTTTTTTTTTTTTTTTTCTGGTATCAGGGATTGAGCACGCTATCTCACACTTGCCAGGCAGGCGCTTATTCCACTGAGCTAAATCCCCGGCCCACAAATAATACTGAGGCAATTCATTCTTTTAATCTTTTTTAAAATGTATAACAAAATACATTTTAAGTATTTAATGTGTCCTACCAGTACCTTTTTTGTATAAAGAATTCAGTCATGTGCAGTGGCACATAATTGTAATCCCAGCTTATTTATGATGCTGAGGCAGGATCATGAGTTCAAGGCCAGTTTAGGTAACACAGTGAGATTCTGTCTCAAAAAAAAAAAAAAGCCAAATGCATTAGTTGGAGCTATTACTTAGCTGTAGAATGCTTTTGACTAGCATGCATAAAATCCTGGGTTTGGTTCCCACTAACACAATATGTTAAAAAATTAACAATTAAATGGACTGAGAGTACAGCGCAGTGGAGAGCCTATACAAGATCAGATTCAATGCAGTGCCAGGAAAAAAAAAAATTAATTACATTTAAAGGGTCAATGGATACCTCTAGTAAACAGTGAGGTCTGGATGTTAGTTTTTATACTATAAGAAATACCTTTATTATATAATACAACTTGAGGCGGGCTTTCCATTTGGAGAACTTTTGCAACAGGTCTCACTGGACTATTTAGAGGACTGATGGCTTCAGGAATAGGTCTCAGATGATTGAAGTCAATGCTTAAAACTGAGTTGTCATCATCATGATATATTGAGTTTGTCTCTCCAGTTTCCATGTTGTGGTTCATTAATTCAGTCTGCTGAAGTGAAGATGCTAGAGCTTCTTTAGATATGCAGGACTCCAAATGAGAAGACTTATTTTCACTCAGAGGTGTATCTGTAAGAGAAGGCTTAAATTTGGGGTTATCACTTTCTGAAAGGTTTAGAGGCAAAATGCTAGCTTCTTCAACCAAAGGCTGCAGAACATTTTCACTGATTTCAGTCATTTTAGCTGAATGACCCCCCTTCATTTCCATATTCTCAGAAATGGTACAAGATTTCAAAACATCATGTCTTTTGGTATCCAATTCCAGGCTAAAGTTTTGAGAACAGTCTGTTTGTAATACAAAATCTGCTGCTGTTGTACTATCAATGGTATTTCCCATTTCTGTTGCTGATGTAAACAAGGATTCTGTTTGTTTTGTTTCTATAGAAGTGGAGGAAGTCTCTGGACCACAAACAGGCACTCCACAAGGAATAGTATTCTCAACAGATTTAACTAGAAAACTAGTTTCTTCTATTTTGTTGCTTTCTGGACTATTATTTTTGAGTTCAGATGCTGCTGGAAGAGCATCCTTTGGCTCTGGTAACTTTGATACAGTTTTTTCAGTACTATGTTCACTGACAGAGGGCACACATATCACTGTTTCAGCCTGTACCAAGGATTCTAAACCACATAGGTCATTTGATTTAGAAGTTTCAGTTATTTTACATAGATTATCCTGACAAACAGGCTGCTTTTTAGCAGGAGAAAGAGTTAAGTTCAATTTTTCCATAAAACTTAATTTTAAGTCTTTATTTTTTATTTCTTTAGTATCATTCTCAGCTTTTACTGCAAATTCTTTATTATCCATTCCTTCAGAAACTTCATTAGAGACTTCATCTTTATCAGTTTTTGTCCCATTCTGTTCCTTTAAATCAGTAGCCGTGTTCTTTGTTTCTTTACTAGTCTTTTGCAAATGCTCTGCAGGTGATTTTTTGTCATTCCTCATATGCCTGTTTTCTTCTTTGTCTTCTCGTTCTCTTTTCCTCTTATCTTCATTTCTATGCCTTTCTGTTTTTAAAGGTGTATTTTCCCATTGGTGTGTAGCACCAACTTCCTTCAATTCCATGTGTTTATGATTTCTACTATTTGAAAAAGAAGATGAACATCTTCCAATTTGAAAATTATGACAGTTCAAGCTCCTATCTCTTTTACAATCTTCCCTTCCTCTTCTCTCTTCTGGATGGTATTTACTGGAACTATGAGATTTTATCTCATTCGTAGAATGGGAAACTGATGCTCGTTCAGATCTCCTCCAGTGATCTTGGTCTTTCATTACTGGTTTAAGTTTTGGATCAAGTTTTCTTTCTTCTCTGTCCTGTGACTTTGATTCTTTTCTAATTGTACTCTGTAATCTTTCACTTTGTCTTTCTAGTTTTTTGTCATTTTGGAACTCTCCTCGCACATGTGACCTGTCTCGAGAGGTCTCTTTTTCCCAAGAAGAGCTACTACGTTCACTTTTATAATCAAAATCTGTGTTACTTTTGAACATTGAGTATTTGCTTTCAGTCTTTTCACCTTTACCATATTTCTCAGAATGTCCTGGTAGCCTTGGACTAGTCTCTGTGTTTCTTGGTTCACCCTCACCAAAGCTGTTACTTAAATCTTTTCGTATTCTATCACTTCCTCTGCCATACTGGCTATGTCTAATATCTTTTCTCCCTCTTCTGTTATCCTCATTTGAGTTACCTTCACCAATTTGGTAATGAGAACGTGACCAAATGCCATTGGTGCAATGTTTCTCAATGGATGAAGGCAAGTATGAAGTGTTCTTTTTCTCAGAATGTGATTTTCCTTCCTTTTCCAGGTTTGGCAGTGAAGTGTTATGATGTACATCTTTGGAAACATCACTTTTAACTCTGTGATCAGCCTTTGAACAATCATCCAAATGTGGAGATCTGGATCTAAGATCTTTTGCTCTAACTGCATCTGATGTCCTTGAAGTTTTATGATTATTTCGAAAATGAGAAAACTCAGACAACCTATTGAGAAATAAAAATTGACAAAAAAAGCAATGTTAATAGAGTGTAATGTTTCTAATTTTATTCACACATAGGCCTCTCAATTTTAAAACTGTGTCACATTTGTATTTTATATAAAATAACTGGAACTGGGGACGCAGCTTAGTGGTAAAGTACTTGCCTACTATATGCAAGTCCCTGAGTTCAATCTTCAGAACCAGGGGAAAAATATATTAATGACTGAATGAACAAACAAATACATAATTTACTGGTTTCTAGTTAAATGAGTCACTTTTCAAAAATAAATAACTTTTTTTTGAGACAAAGTCTTATCTTAGCATGTAGTTCAGGCTAGCCTCAAACTTGTAGAAATCCTCTGTCTCAGCTTTCTGAGTGCTAGGATCACAGGCATGCACTACCACACCCAAATATCTCTTACTTGCTTTGTTTTAATGGCAATCTGTCCCAGCACCTCACAATCTGTTTTTAGACTTCCCTAAACCACAGATGCACAAATCCCAAACCAAATTTAAATTCACTTCTTTCAGCAAGTGCCTTGTTTTCTTTCCCTCACTCATATTACCTTGACTAAAACAGAAGGAAAAGTAAAATCTTGTTGGATAACAGACATAATCAAAGTACACTTTACAGAATTTGGTATCTTAGTTTCCAAATATAGTCCTATAATAAGGCACAGAATCAATAGTTATCTTTTTTGTCTGGTTATTTTGTACTTTGAGACAGAGTCTTGTTATGTAGTCCAGGCTGGCCTTGAACTCTCAATTCTCTTGTCTTAGCTTCCTAAACTTTGGAACTGCAGGCATGTGCTACCATACTCAATTTTTGGCAGTCACCTTAAAGTGGTACATATTATACAAAAGTTAAAAAAAAGGAATACAGAATTGTGGTTGTCTCTTTAGGAGAATGACATTACTATTTTAAAAAAGCCTAGGTCTTAACAGTTTAATGTTCTAGAAAACTGGTAGTTTGCCTAGCAGTTAAATGTATATAGTTCATTTTAGCTTTTTGTAATAAGTTTATCTTCTCATACTTCCATGTCAACCATTACTCTTCAAAAGTCCATCCCAAATCAACACTTAATGTGTGGACACCCACAAATTAAAAAACTCAGAAATAAGCCAAAGATGACTTATGAGGCAAAGAACCAAAAGCAACGTGCAGACTTTATATGGATTCTTTCATGAATAGACTTGTTTCTCCTATCCCAACACAAATTCAGATGCTATGGTTCTAACCACAATACATTAGCATATGACCTTATTTTTAGCTTATTGTTATCTCAGTTTTTCTATTCACTAAACACTGTTTCAACCAAATGATAAATGTATCATTAGAATACAAGTCATGGTTCACAAAAGTATAAATATTTGACAGAACATTTATGAGATAATGACTAGACAAGATCAAACTAATAAAGTAACGACTGTCATTTTATTCACTGAGTTTTTCTTTTCTCCCTGTACAAACTCCATGCCCTTTCCTCAGAAGACTCAAATATATACACAACTTCTCCAGCTGTTCAGGAACACAGCTTATGCTAGGTGCACTGAGAAAACTAATTTAGCTTAGTAAATGTACACATTTTTCCCATATTTATTTTCAAAAGGTCTAAATACAGTAGAACCATCATGTGGAAAGAATTGTTTGTGAAGTGACATAAAATGGTTATTACAAAGACTATTTTCATTCACTTAACAAATAACTACAATGTGCCAGGCACTGTGGTAGGTCTTGGAAAAAACAGTGAGGACAAATAGTTATGATCCCTACTCAAAGATACTAATCAAGTAATCCCATTCATGATCTGAAAAACTGAAAATATACATAGTTATAAAAGAAAGACATGTGACCTAGACAGTAAGAATAAGCCATTATCACCTGACATTTGCAAATATACGGCATACATTTAGCAGGTGAATGCGAAGATCATTCCAGGAAACTGCCCAATGGTAGAATGTTAGGTACCTCCAAGGAACTGAAAGAATGTATCACTTTGGGCCAAGGAATGCACTAAAGGAAAGCTTAAAAAGTAGTTTGGGACTTTATTAAGAAAAAGAGGCGAGGTCATTCTTTTTCTATAGCAAGAGGTCTGGAACTTGTGCTTCAGAATATGTTCTGAGATTTCATACTGAAAAAGACAAACCAAAGGCTAAAGATCAAGAATGGATTCAGAAGCCAGATGTGGTGGCAGATACCTGAAATCCCAGCACTCAGAAGGCTGAGGCAGGATTGCTGTGAGTTTAAAACCAGCCTAGACTACATGGTGAGTTCAGGGACAGTATGAACTGCATAGTCTACGAGACCCTATCTCAAAAAATAAAACAAAGCAAAAAGAGTGGCTATAAATATTTTCTTAGTGTTTATTACTTTTACATATTAAAAAACTGCTACCAGTTCATAAGAGTAGATGGGCAGTGACAACCACAGGGGGAAAAAAAGAACAAATGATTTGAGTGACAGGTTAAAAACACATATATCAACAGAATGTGATGATAAATTGGCTCTGAAAAATGAGATTTAAACTTAAATGACAACTCCTAGGCAGGGTGATTGTGTCCCAGCTTGACAAGCAATCTTAGTTTGGAAGTATTAACAGCATCCTCTTATGCTCCTGAAAGTATTTTAGTGACAGCAATAAACTAAATGGTTATCCTACATCTAGATGCCTATCATACACTAACCGAGTAAATGCTAGAACAATCCTAGGGAACAATGGAAAATATTTGATAACAAATTCATTTTTGATGAGGTAATACTGAAAAAGGTTTCAAGACATTTATGTGTAGATATGGAGTAAGTAGTATATGTACATACAAATGTATAAATGCAAGTGACCTAGCATGAGTAAGACTATCTCACCAGAAAAAACTGGAAAGAGTAAGGACATACCACCCTGAACATACCAATCTCATCTGATTTCTGAAGCTAAGTAGGGTCGGGCCTGGTTAGTACTTGGATGGGAGGAAATACTGACAGAAATATCAAAATATAAGCTTGAGGGCTGGGGATTTAGCTCAGCGGCATAAGCGCCTGCCTTGCAAGCAGGCAGTCGTGAGTTCGATCCCTGGTACCGATAAAAACGAAAAAGACAAAAAAAAAAAAAAAAAAAAAAGCTTGAGCTCTGAGGGATTCAAAATTCAAAGGGATCATGTACACAAGAACAAACCTGAGTTATCAAGAAAACTAAAAATTAAAGTCAACGGGAGAGACTATTCAGGAAGTAAGGATCAACAATGTTTCAAACAACGAGCACAGGGACAATTTTAAACTGGAGGTCAAAACTCTTTGATGAATTTAATATATTCAAGCAATGGCTGTTTTTATTATGATAGGTGCTTCTACCAACCAGTGGACACAAAAGTCAGAATGGATTAGGTTCAAAGTAAGCAAAAAGGAGCCAGATGTAGTGACATATGCCTGTCATCTCAGCTACTTGGGAGGACAGAGCAAGACAATCACAAGTTTGAGGCCATTCTGGGCTAATGGATAAGACCCTGTCTCAAAAAAAAAATTAGTCAGGGCTGAGATGCAGCTCAGTGGCACAGTGATTTCTTAGCATGTATGAGGGCCTGGGTCCAATCCTCAGGACTAGATTAAAAAGAAAAAATATGAAGAGAATAAAAATGAAGCAAGTTTAGACAGATTTTAGAGACTTGGCTATGAAGAGAAGACTTATGAACTTCACTAGGGTAGAATATTGTCTCTGGCTGAAAAAAAGAATGAGCAAAATTAACAGAGAAAAGGCACGTAAGGGAAAAGAACAGGCAACTGAGTTTTGTGGGAGAGGTACTGAGGATTAAATCTTGGGGGCACTCCACCACCAAGTTACATTAGTCTTTTGAGGCACAGTCTCACTCAATCAAACTTGTAATTCTCCTGCTTCAGACTCAATGCTGAGATTACAAATGTGCATTGTACACTCAGCTTAGGGCTGCTTAATTAGGAAGAGCTGTGAGCACAGATGCCTTTTTGGTGAGGGACTGAAACCAGGGCCTCCTGTATGCTAAGCATGAACTGCACCACTGAGTTATTCCTGCCCATCCAATGTTCTCCTGGTATTCTAGAAATTTATGGACACAGAAGAACCCCCAATGTAACACTATCATCTCAGGGAGAAAGCAGTACTAAGATTCTAGTGTTTTAGAAAACTGAGACAAGCATGCGGTAATGTTCTATAAATTATTGGCATATTAATTACTATTCACATTAAAAATTTACTTAGATATTATTTTTACCTTCCACTCAAACTAAAAAATATTCCACATATCAATATCTGTATCACTTATAATAGGTGAACACCCTTTAGTTATACCTTTGGTAAAGATTATTTATTTCTTCATCCTTGCGGTTTATTTCCACTCTGGCAGTTTTGATAAGTGCTGAAATATTCTTCTTAAGAGACTGGTTTTCATTTTTCAAGCTGAAATTCTAAAATGCACATTAATAAGGTATATTAAAATACCTATTTATAGGATTATTATTAGTACTGCTTATATTAGCTAACAATTATTGAAAGACAACTACATGCTAGGCATCACATTGTATTTTATGTAATGCTCAAAAAAGCCCCATGAAAATTACTATTATCCACACTATATATAGTTAAGGGAACTGAGATTCAGAGAAAAAAATAGGCACCAGAAAAAGCCCACTTAAAGGGAAACTATGCAAGATAGGGATCAATATATAAAAATAAACAGCAGGAAAGAAGTTTTGCCTGCATATTTTGAAAATTAAAACTAAAATAGGAGAAGCTGAGTGTGGTGGCATATGCCTATTATTCCAGGATGCTGAGGCAGGAGGATCACTGGGAGTGCAAGGCCAGCCTGGACTACATAGTGAGACCCTATCCCAAAAAATCAACCAAACAAACAAAAAGGTAAAATTCTCCTATACTTAACAAGTTAAATTTACAATCATAGATAAACAAAAAAATCAATCTAACGTCAATTCGTTCCTTCAAGGGGAAATGGAAACGAAGAAAAACAACTTTATCAAAACCAATCAGGATTTCACATTTCTTATTTCTGCAACATAATCACAAAAAGGGTAATTCTAGTCAAAATGTAAAGGAAATCTTTTTTTCCCTTCCACAAAGCCATTCTAAATCTTTGCTCCTCAAAACCACTGTCTTAAAGTGCCTGCCACTTCCACAGATTTTTTTCCGTAACTATTGATTAATTGTTTTAAATCTAACAGATCTTTTTTATCTTTTTTTTTGAGATCACAGTGATCCTCCTAGCTTTAGCCTTTACAGGGGTGTGCCACCATGGCCAACTCGTCAATGTTCTTTTAACCATTCAAGCACTTTTCCTATATCAATTTCATCAAATAAAGAAATAATGACAAGCTAGGTGAGGTGGCACATACCCATAATACCAAGCTGAGGCAGGAGGATCAAGAGTCTGAGGGCAGCCTGGGCTGTAGGGTGAGTTCAAAGCTGGCCTGTCTGAAAAACCAAAAATGCACCTCAAGGGTAGAGCATTTTTTTTTCTTGGCAGCAGGAACTGAACTCAGGACCTTGTACTTGCACTTACTCCGCTGAGCTATATTGCTGGCCCAAGGGTAAAGCATTCTTGACATGGGTCAATCCCCAGAGAAATGGGAAAACAAAACCCCAAACAACCCTTCCTTATAAACTGCTGACACTTGGCATTTTAATTTCTATTTATAAAAATAGCCAGAAAAAAAAATAATAGTGTACCTCAGTGGCAGAATGCTTGCTTAGCACACATGAAGCTCTGGGTTCAATGCCCAGCACCACAAAAGAAAACAGAAAAAGCTTCTTAATAAACTGCATTTTAATTTCTTTCTCCAACAAAATAGGCCTTAAAAAAAAAAAACAAAAAAACACCAATGGTGGTGGGGTGTGTCTTACTATTTTGCTCAAGTGGACCTGAACTGTTGGCCTAAGTGGCCTTCTGCCTCAGCTTCCCAAGCACCCAAGACTGTAGGCACATATCACTGTCAAGCTCAAAATAGTCTGAAGTATGTTTCTTGAGACTTGGGGATTGAACTCCGATTTTGTTTTGTTGAGACATTTCATTATGTTACCCGGCTAGTGTCAAACTCAAAGTCCTCCTGTCTCAGTCTCCTGACTGCTGGGGTGATAAGCATGTGTTCAGTGACCTTGTCAAATCAACACTTTAAAAAAAAAAAAAAAAAAAATCAAGGATCAGGCAAGGTGGTGCACTCCTGGTACTCTGGGAGGCTAAGGCCAGATTGGGCAACTTAGCAAGGCTTTGCTTTAGAATAAAAAGAGGTTAAGAATGTAGTTGAAAAAGTAGGCCCTTGGTTCAATCCCCAGTACCACAAAAACAAAATAAAAATCTGTGTTAAGTCCAGCTGTGGTGGACCACACCTGTAATTCTAGCACTCAGGAGGCTGAGGTAAAAGGATTATGAATTCAATGACAGTGTGAGCTATTATAGCACGTTAAAAGCCAGCTTGGACTACTTAATGGGAACCTGTCTTAAAAAAAAAAAAAAACAAAACAAAAAGGTACTCACTTCAGCAGCACATATACTAAACCTGAAACAATACAGAGAAGATTAGCATGGCCTCCTGCACAAGGATGAGATGCAAATTTGTGAAGCATTCCATATTTTCCCAGAGTCTGTAAATAAATTCCTACCTGGAAAAACAAGGTTAATACAGCAAAATTGATATTTACAACAATCTTACCTGTGTCTGTATTTCCTTAAATTTTTTCATCAGTTCTTTCATCTGTAGCTGACATTTCCCATATTCTACCTGTAACTGTAAAACATGAAAAGGTAAGTGTCATTCTAAGGTATTGCATCCCATGCACCATATAGGGTATGAAGGAGTCTGAACCCAGGGACTTCAACTGAATTACACCCCCACCTTTTTTCTTTTGAGATAGGACCTTGTTAAGGCCCCAAGTGGGGCTCTAATTTGAGATTATCTTGTCTAAACCTCTCAGAATGCTGTTAAGTATCGTTTTTTTTTTTTTTTAATTTTACAACAGTTTATTAAAAGGCACCAAAAAAGACAACCGCATAGAAGTTGTCACATAAGTAACAAACAAAGGCTCAGTTTACAGAACATTTCATAGAACTGCAAAACAATGAGGAAAAAGTAAACCAGCTTTCGTACTCAGTTTACTAAAGCCCTGGGACATGAAACCCACCATCCAGAACTAAAAGAAAAGAAGTCTTATTTGGCTGTTGGTTTCAGGGTATTTAGTCCATGGTCACCTGGCTCCAAGGCAGAAACATCCTGGTGGAAGGGCATGGCAGGACAAAGATGTTTAGGTCATGACGGCTGGGAAGAAGAGCAGGTAACAGTACCAGAGGAGAAGCAGCCAGGGACCATATATAGTATCCAAGGTCATGCTATCATGATCTACCCAGATACATCAGAAGTGTGCTTTATCCCATCTTTTTAACTTAAATAACACAGGCTATAGCAGCCCAGGATGGAGCCAGGTGGCTGCTTACTGGGACACTCGACCTGGAGCCCTGGAGCCCTGGAAATCAAGCAACCCCTCCCTTCCTGGACATCCCTTGACAGGTTGACCATAGGCAATGTAGCAAATGGGGGGGTGGGGAGCGATTTCCTTCTACCATCTCTTTGAAGGCAAATACTTTTATCCCTGTTTTGCTTTGTTCTAATTAATGGTGTTATTTTAGCCTGTTTTGTTTTATGAACTTCAATATACATGAAAGTATGGACCGCTATTTTGAAAAGAATGAGGGACTCTATGACAGCCATAAGTGACTTCCCTATTGTCTGGTTTTGGAGACCTAAAACACGCCTTCCTCATTCTGTTTAGATCATCTTTATACTATGTTGTTTTGTATGAATTCTCTGTATTGTGAAGACATGGACAACTATTTAGAACAAAACAAGAGACAATATGATAGATAGTGAAGCTCTCGGGTCGTCTAGCTTTGAAATCTTATCTCTTAAAAAAATTTAAGTAACATCTAAAAACATTTAAAATTTTGCCAATGAATCCCTAAAAAGTGCTGATGAAGTACATTTCTACTAATAGGTATTAGTAACTTTTTCAGCCTATCAATCACATATTTTGGTAAGTTTCATATTTAACCTCCACATCTTAAAAATTCAAATATGGTAGAAATTTTTCTCATTTAAGTCACAGAAAAACTTATCATGCCTTAGTGCAAATCATAAAAAAATACAATGTTTTATCATACCAAATGCTTCCTGAGGTTTTAGATATTCAGACACTTAAACTTAGTCAAAACTGTCAATAAATTAAAAAACATTCTTTTAAAAGTAGGTTTGAAAGCAGAAACTGAGCTAAATATTCTTTTGATCTAAGAACCAATTCCTGAACACAGAATAGTAAGCTGCTACCTGCTTTCTAGGGGCTACAAGGTAGTAAAGAACTGTCTTTAAAAGCCGTGGCAACGCGTACATCATTATATGTCGCCTCCTTTGCAGTTCCTTCTTCTGTCAGGATCTCTTCATATAAATCCAAACAATTTCTGGATGGCGCACAGGACTTGGAAGTGTTGTCTAAACAAATAAAAATCCTTACATTAAAATATTTGTTAGGTGTTTTGATGTATCTACCTCAAAGGAATTATCATTTCTCCATGTCTTACATTTTATTCAAATCTACCCTGATTTCATGATGACAGCTGGAATGCCAGTTACATAAAGTGGTTGTGTCAATGAATCACCTGTGATCATGTTTTTCAAAACACTGAAAGATCTAATTCTAGAAAAGGTTCATATGAAAAATATTTTACATATAGATAAGTCCCAATATACACTGAAGATCATGCTTATTGTTATACTTGAAAATATCTACAGTAACAACACTTCTCAAATGTTCTGACACAATGAGCAATAACATGTACAGACAATAGTATCAGCTGCATTTCAATGATATAAAACACTTGTACAAAATCCAGTTAAATCTGAGACTTAGATGAATAAAAACCTGTATTCAGAGTGGGGTGTGGTGGCTCACGCCTGTAATCTCAGCACTTGGGAGGCTGAAGCAGGAGGATCACTGCCAGTTCAAAACCAGCCTAGGCTACAAAGTGAGCTCAAGGCCAGCCTGAACTGCAAAGAGACACCCTGTCTCAAATAGACAAAACAAAACAAAAAAAAACAACTAAAAAAACCAACCTGTATTCTAATTCGTTTTACATACCAAGATTTGGGTAAGAAAATTACTTGAATGCAATTATTTCAAAGAATAAGCAAATACAGGCACTCTGAAGTTACCAGGAATTGGTAACAACAAAACAAAGTGAGCAAATAAAATAAGACTATTTTATGGAACTTACATACCAGTAACAGCACTGTCCAACCCAGCATATATGTCCAATGAGCCGTCATCATTATTTTTGAGAGGAGACGCTAAGAGAACAGTAAAGACTGGTTAAAATTACTTCATACAATGAAATTTTTTCATTCCTACCCTGATGGACCAGGAAGCACTCAAAAGAGATTTTTTTATATACTGTACTTAAAAACAAGATTTTGGCACAAAGATTTATAGCTTGACTACTTCATATTTACACTTAAATCCTGCAGGTAAGTATAAAGGCTAGAACAAAATATTAGAAGCTACCTGAAGAGCTAGAGAGGAACCTGAGCAGGAAAAAAAACCAGACAAAACTTCAAGGCCTTGGGTTCAATTTCTAGCACCACCAAGGGGAAACCAAACCAAACCAAACCAACACCTGGTGAGGAGATAATATCTGAAAGAAGAGGGTCTGAGCTCCTTATCCCCCTTTCATCATTGCTTTTGCTGAAAGACAGGTCCTAGTTGCCCTAATTAGAGTTACACCAGGCAGTGAAAATTCAGACAGAAACCCCTAGTCCTAATGGCCTGAAGAATGAGAGGAAAGACTGAGGTGATAACAGTAACTAAAAGGGGAAATCCAGAGACTTAAGGAAGGGATTCTTCAAATTCTGTCTCAAATATCTTGTTATCCCCACAAAGCATTGAACTCCAGGAAATCAGCTAAAGATAACAGACATTTCAGTTGCTATCCACCATGGGAGAGACAAAAGTGTAAGTTACATACCTGTTAGAATTAAAAGCAACAACAATACCTCAGAGAAATATAAAGAATTTGGTGCCATTCATAATGTTACAAATATACAAAACTACTTCATTACAGCAGAGAAACAGAAACAACTAAAAAGAACCAAAAGAAAAAAATCTACAACTGAAAATTGCATAGGAACATCACTGGATGTGCTTGACAGAAAATCTAATGCAGTAGGTAGATCAACAGTAATTACCCAATCTGTAGAGCAGAGAGAAAAAAATGAAAGCCATTGTGATTTTAGGATATTAACAATTCTCATATAAAGAATATCTAGAGTCCAGAAGCAAATAGATAATGGAAGGAAATGGTATATCAAAGATACTAAAGGATGCTATAAGGACTAGCAATATAAAATGATAAAATAATTGAAAAAACACAAAAGACTAATTTTCCTCTTATTTTCTTTTAATTATTAAATACATTAAAATACATAGAAGACTGCTTAAAATGAAAAATTACAGTCTTTAATTATAGGAATTATAGTATTGTAAGGGTTATAACGCATAGATGTCATATTTTAAAGCAAGATAGATAATACAACTACAAATATTGTTTTATGTGAAACTGTACAATACTAGTGAAAAGACTACAAAATGTTAAGTATAGTTCTTTGAATAATAATGCAAAGAGACAAAACCAAAAGGCTCATGTATAAATTGAAAAGAAAATCAAAGATATATTCTAAGTAGAACATATATGGGGCCGCCACTATTTTAAAAATGTACAAGCTGGAGATGCAGTTCAGTGGTACAGCACTTGCCGTCATCCACAAGGCTCTTACTCAATCCCTAACACAGCACAAAAACAAAACGAAACAAACAAGAAAACACACTATGTGTCTGGACAGGGAACTGAGAATACATAGAAATGAAAGCAGTTTTATCAGCAAATGAGAATAACAATGTTGTTTTGTTTTTCAAAATCTAATAGAATTGTAGTCACTAATTTGGGGGGGGGGGGCAGAAATCAAACCCAGGATATTGTGCTTGCCAAGCATGTGCTGTGAAAAATTAACAGAACTGGAGACATGATGAATTTGTGAATCTAGGTGAAAAATAAAGCTGTTCATTATACTTCCAGTTTTTCTGCTGGTTTAAAATTTTTTCAAAAAAATCTCCCCAAACAGAACTAAATAACATCATAACAACTTGAAAATACATCAGCAAAAATATTCAGCATTACATAATACTTAACCCAGTGCAGTTATGATGGCCTTTGCCTATTTATGAATACTGATTTTTAAAAAACAATTCTGGGGATAAAACCCAGAACTTCAATCATGCTAGGCAAACATTCTAACACTAAGCCACATCTCCAGCTATATGAATATTAATAAAAAAATTTTAAATTAAATTCTACAAAATAAATTTTTTTGTTTTTGTGACAGGGTCTTACCATGTCACCCAGGCTAGTATCAAACTCAAAGTCCCCCAGTCTCTCTCTCCCAAGTAGCTGATACTATTGGTATGTTCTACCATGTGTAGTCTAAATGCGCTTTGTAACTGTCCATTTCACTATACAGCATACTAATCATAATTGTCA